ATGATTTGGAATAGAGCTTGTTATGTTCTATTTGCTGACAACATGCAGGGAAGACCAAGGAGTAAAGATGACTGGAAGATATTATTGACCAGGCAGAGTCTTAAAAAATATGATACTGCTTAAAGATATGTGATTTCCTTGCTATCCAGAGTTATTTAATTTGATCCTGGTCCAAATTCTATGGATGGAGCAAATGATTCCATATGATGCTGTGAATGCTTTGAAGTTAAAGTTCATGACCAAAAAGATGCAAGAAGGTTGTGTGTGTTTTGATGCTTAATTAAATGTCAATTCACAACATATAAAATGGAAACCCATATTTGTTATCTATATGAAACATTTGTACTGAGATTTATGATGACTCGATGCAGATGTAAGAGCATCAAACTGTATAAGCCATTGGGTTTTATATAACTTAATGTTAAATCATGTCATATGTTTATCAAAAATATTTTTGTTGAGTGTTGTTTAAATGTTACTAATATCAATGGACTATACTGAAGCATCAAAGATTCAGTGATGAACCTTAAAATTATTGTACTATTATATTTCTTATATAAATATATTTCTTTAAAAACAGTTTGAGCTTATTTACCTATTAGATTACAGAATGGAGATTTATCATATGCTTCATTACTGCTTTTAAAATAAATGTTTTTCACTTTTCAAAGCTTTTCTACATATTTTGCTTCTTATTTCTTTTCATGATTGATGTGTAGAGTAATATAATCAAATAACTCTAATTTCTAAAAGAGCTTTTAAAGCTAGCATGAAAATTACACTATAGGTTATTTAATTCATTTGGTTTTATTGCCTTGCTATGACATATCCATATGCATTTCATCATTCTTGTATGAAGAAAACACCAAATATGGATACTCAGAGAACAAAATGCACACCAACTGCTTATGAAAATTGTTATTAAGGTGAAACTGTGTTAATCATTCAAATTGTGTACTTATATTGCAAATATAGGAAAAACAAAACAAAGTGAAAATAAGGTGGAAGTGTTAAAACTAAAATGAATTATAAACACACCATTGGAGCATAAGTGTTTTGATGATTATTTGCATTTTAATTTATATATCAATACAACAAAATCAAATGTTACAACTACAAGTATTTGATGCAGTTGCACTTCAGAACATCACAAAAAGGTTACTTAAAGTAATTTCTATACAATATTTTTGTTTCATTTACAAACCTATGCAGACTTGAGTCTTTTTGAAATTTAATATGAAACTCAATTTCAGAAAATCCATAAATATCCAGAGATTTAATATTTACTTTTTAAAGAAACAAGTAAAAATCCTACAATTTATGGCGAAAAAAGCATTTTCCACGAAAATACTTAGTAAGTAACAAATAAGCTAACTTCCTCTCGTGAACCGTGGAGATGAACTATGATATACTTTTGTAGACTAAAGAGTTTAATCGATCAAACAAGTTTGACGCTGGTAGAAAACGACGCATATCTGCATTCATAGATGTGTAGCCGACATATAGCTCTTTCTGTCGATAGTTATAAATACATCCTCGTAGAGCCGATAACTGGAAGCTAGGTTGTCGCTGTTAGGAATTGTAGGTTTTATCGTGATTTTCATCAAAATTGCTTGCCAAATCCCAAATACACATACATTTTTCTTCCTTTTTCCTCAGGAGAGGAGTGGAAATTGTGAAATTTTCGGAGAAGCGGTCAATTTCGGTAAATCAGCGGCAACGGACGAAATCCGCCATTTTTGGCGTCATCAGATATCTAAGGCCGCGCTTGAGATAGCCTCCAGTTAATATAGAACTCAATAGCTAGACGTCTTTACAGAGTTTTTCCTTCGACTCACAATCGCAAATGGTTTTTGTTTCGTTTTTCGTTTTCTGTTTGCTTTATGAAGTTTGTTTACAATTGACTGTAAAATAACGCGTTTTGGGCGGTGGTCGATTACGGGAAATAATGGACTGGCAAAATGTTTCTGCCACAATCAAAGCTCGCCATTTCGTTGGGTGACGCCTGTATAGTAAACGCATGTTAATGCATCGCACTTATTACTTAACTTTGCACATTATGGCTGAGGGTTTGTCTGTTAAGGATAAAAAACACAAAATTAATCGCCACCATTTATGCTATATTTGGTTTTGGAACAAAATGGTGGACGCTTGACTACCGGATGTTTAGGCGGTCAAAGATGATATTTCATATGTATCTTCAAGGCAACCTCTATGAAAACGTTTATTGAATTTTTATTGGAGCATATATACTAATTAACCTGATTATTTTTATTCAATTTAAAACCGTTCAATCAAATGATGTACGCCGATTAGGGACTTGCTTATTCGATAATACCTTCCTCCAGGAAATTCCGAACCATCAACAGCACGCGTTTCTCTTTAGCGCAAAAAGAACACAATAAACATATCCCAATTTACACATAGCTTGAATAGAATTTGTTCTCTTGCAAATTTCAATTTATCAACTGTCCTATGTTATAAAATGAGATGAATCATGAACTTTCGGCCTTTCGAATCACACATATGCATTCATACACTTGCTAATACAAGTTTCAAAGTGATATGGAATCTTTTAAGGACTTGGCCACAAAATTATACTTTTAAGACATACATAAAGCCTTTGGGAAAGGACCAATAAATCTCCGTCTATGGTAAGGCGCTGATGGAGAAACACCTTATCGTGAAGATTCAGTTGACTGTCTCAGGTATTCTGCAGTATATTGAAAGACCATTTTGCATCGTCACCATTAAAGTAGCTTTCTCAGACAAGCTGTCGGACGAAAAAACCAACGTAGTGATATTTTCAACAAGGCTGATGATGAAATATAAAAATATGTCAAAGAATTGTACGGCCTAACCGCAATTATCCATGGCCCTTGTTAAGAACGCACAGCGAACGACTGAGGGCGATACTTCATGGCGCTATACATGGACGTCACCATAAGCACTTTTATGGTGGAAAAACATTTCCATCCCAAATATGGTTGGCCAAATTTTGCAAAAGTGAAGAAAACAAATCACGTTCATTTCCGAAAATTAAAACACTTTCAACACTTAAATTTATATCCAACTCGATCAACGTTTTCATCCAAATATCAACAAAATAAAATCCCATTAAATGTTTATTTTGTCCCACGCAATCATAAATTTCAATTCACATTCAACGCTACAAAAATCATGTCCACAACCAAAAAATTGTGTCAACAACTGCAAAATTCATGTCAACAATTCCCATAACTCCAGTGTAGTGCCCTTGCAGTTTATGGTATTGAACCACCAAGTTGACACAAATCCGGCTCATTTGGCAGGCCTAAATTGAAAATTCCTGAAGAGACTCTACTTGAAATAAAATCTCTTGGTTACTCGTGGAAGCAGATAGCTGGTTTGCTGTTCATATCAAGATGGACAATTTTACGGTGGCCCATAAGGGCCATCACTTAAAAAAAGTCACAACACAAGTAAATGTAATCACAACACAAGTAAAATAATCACAACGCAAGTAAAATAATCACAACGCAAGTAAATAAAGTCACAACACAATTAAATATAGTCACAACACAAGTAAATATAATCACAACACAAGTAAATATAATCACAACATAAAGTAAAATATGAAATACTGGAAATTCTTTTGTCAAGTGGAAACATTGTTGTGATATTTTGCAAAATAGCGCTTGTTTAATATTTGTTCCAAAAAACCAGACTTATTATAAATTATATTCAATGCTTGATGGATAGCAAAAATGTTTTGTTCAAACTGTGGTATAGAAAGTGTGGAAAATGCGATTACTGTTATAAATGTGGCAACTCCTTCGCACCGATGCGCGAAAACTTGAAGAATCTGCAAACACATTTTCTACGTCGATTCTATAACTAGTGGGATCTCAGTATTATGTGCTAGCGGTACCCTTACTGGTACAACCCAGCCGCCTAAAACGTTAGGTTTTTACGATTTCAAGCGCCAGAAGGAAAGCGATAGGCGAAACAGATTCGAGCCAAAGGCCAAGAAACTCAAAGCAAATTCTGGTAAAGGAAAAGATAAGGAGCACGAAGTAAGCATAAATATTGGTTACATGAAGGTCGATAATGACGGAAATTTGAAAAGATTTCGGGGTAAAACTCTCCTGTAAAAGTTTTGCCAAGTGCGAAAAAAGAGAAATCTTAGAAAAGCAGTTAGAAAACATGCTAACCACGACAATAACATCCATGGCGAGTTGGAGCACGTCCTTTTGAATGTAAACGGGAAGGAAATCACAAATTTGCCGGGAACTGAAAAAGAGTTTGTGTTAAGCGAATACAGGGAAGATATAGGGAAGAATTATAATCGCTTAACACTTTTCATTGCACTAAAATCTGCATATATGTACAGAGATTTCAAAATTAAAAGAAGTTGTGATGATAGTGAACCAGAGACAATCGCAGATCTTTCTGATGAGATGTTTTTAGAAACTGATGATACAATTGGAATTGAACTCTCACCTTGTCCATCTTCAAGTCCATGTGAGCCATCAACTAGCTTGCATATTGCTACAAATCTCCCAATGAATACACCTCCCATATATAACTCTCAAAGTGCAAGTAACTATGTATCACGTAGCAAGGAGCTCAAATGTGAGTGCCCAACATGTCAACAATACTTTTCAATAGATGAAATAGCAGAGCATGCAGATATATGTTGTGACATATGGGTGGGAGCACTTCAATCTCAAAATAGGGATAGTGAAAAGAACATTCCCGAAGAAAATCCTGATGTGGTGATAAACCAAGATAACACTACAAATGTGAAAGATAAGTTATTGGATATTAAAGCTGTAACATTGTCACCAAAGGCAGTAAGATTAAATGTTAGTAGAAAAATATATGGTGTGACTTCATTGAGTATAGATCAAGTGGTAAAGTGTCACCAACTGACAGTGTAAAGATAGTGTTTGTGGAGAGTGTGCAATTGATGACGGGGCCAAAGAGAGTTTTTCAGGTACTAATATTGTAAGACATATGTTTCTAGGGTTAATATGAGCACCCTGTTGATTTAAAATAAATATATTGTTCTGCTACACTTCAATTCCCTTTGCAGCTTATTTCCCATAATTTGTCTATCATGCATCAATCAATGTTGACAAGTTTGGTTTAAATATAGGATGGGGACAATTGAAAAAATATGATTAGATGTTAATTCTTTCATCAGAAATGTTGGAGCATATGGAAAGAAGACTGTTCTGTAATGGAAAACCTATTAATTCAGCTGTCGCCATCATGAATGGAGATTTTCGTTTTGCTGGCGAGGTCATGGTGATGTCATTACTTCAAGGCGGACCAGCTCCATCTTTTATAAGTCCAGATGTTTACAAGTACATCACCAAACAGGCACTCACAACAGAAGGAATGCCCGACTCCAAGTACAAAGAAGCTGTTAAAAAGGTATGCTGCAACAAGATGGAGATTACCATATGCTTGATTATTACTCGTTGCTGTGGCATGATTTTGAAATAAGTCTATTTTTATTATATTCTCTGATGTCAGTAATGATTACTGTACACTTCTCCTTTTCAAAGATAAAGCAAGCTTGTGACGATGAAATGTTGAGGGAGATACTTGTCAGCGATGATATGATTGAAATGCTATCAGAGGCTGGATACACTGGTGTACCACATAAAGAGACAGTGCATACTGTTTCCAAAATTGCTCAGTAAGTACATTTTGAAAGTTAATGGAGATTAAAAAAACTATTCTTGTGCTGCTGGTTTATAAAGTCTAAGATTTATTTCTATTTTTAAAGGTCAATTTGCGTAATGGGCCACTTTTCATCAGTTCTTCCTCAAATTATGCAATTGGTTGAAGGCCTCAGCAGTTGTGGTCTTATAAATTATATGATAGAAAATCCAGAGTTGTGGAAGCCATTGTTCGATCCTTATAACGATTCGTTTAAACTTTCTGCTGATACTTTCCTCAATGAAATTATTCCAACATTCAGCAGTTCGCAGATTCACAAGGAAAAGGAGATTGACGTGTACAAGATATTTTGCGACTATGTGCAAACCCTAGATACTGAAGGTTAGTTTGAATATATATGTTGTAAATTGGGTGCCAAATTGTATTATTGTATTTACGATGGAATTTTTTGAAAGTATCAAATAACGCGTAAAATTTATTGAAGTGATGTTTTCTAATCTGAAGTTGTGGTATAAACACAAAAAATGGATACCTTGATTAGTTTGTTTATTCATTTTTCAGTCTTAAATGTTTAAAACGTTTTTAACAGGAGACGTATCCATATCAGCGTTTCTGAAGTGGTTATCGGGATGTAAGACTATTCCAGTTCTGGGTTTTCCAAAAAAATTTTCCGTAACGTTTGTACATGATTGCAAAGAAAATTGTAAATGTCGCCCCACAACATCAACATGCAATCTTCTGCTGAGAATTCCAGTTCATATAAGTAACATTAGCGAGATGGAGGAAATGATGACATCAGCACTTAATGACTGCGCTGGTTTTGGATGTATCTGAATCAATGTCCATACAATGGTAGCTTGGGAACATTTTTATATTTATGTTGTCATTGAAATATTTTTGTTTGTTCCGTTCTAATTTGCCAGTTTGAAAGAACATTTCAAGGGACAAGTCTTTATTGAAATTTGACTTTTGGTGCAGAATTTATATCAATAAGAAAGATGCCTGATTTTGCTTGCATCGGTACGCTGCGCAATAAAAAAAAATATAGAAAACATACAATCATCATGTATAGAAATACAAGAAACATCTATACCATGCAATATAATAGGCAGAAAATTCAGTTCTCAGAACTTGCAAATTCAATAAGTTTCAGATACAATTCAAATGCATCGGCTGCATTTGCTGGTAGATTAAGATCTTCTTTATCCAGATCTCCTCGTCAAATGTATCAAACTCCTCGTCGCCTATTGCGTGTTGCTCCATTTCATGAATTCGTTCATTTGCTACTGCACGCTTACATTCGGCAGCACCAAAATTCCCTGGGAGATAATACAGAACATCTGGAATACCTGCTACTGTACCGTAATTTCTTGTTGGACGAATGCGATGTGTGTTCCATTGCATTTTGACAGCTTCTAGCTCACATGATAGGACAGGAGAAACACAAAACCATAGACACTCCATTTGCAGTGTATTCCCTATTTCTAACTGACCAGAAGCAACCATGTCTTTGAAAAAGTCCATCCACCATCCTGTTCTGGCTCGGCGAAAGTAAGACCACCAGCCCTCTATTCGCTGGTTAGCAGACGAAGTTCCATATTTATGGGCGTTGTGGCCAGCGAATACGTCATTTCCATCCTTTCGAAAATAACACTGCATGGCCGCAAGTACTCCATTTTCCGTACCACAATCACTTCTAACAACAAGGGGGGCAGCCTTCGATGTTTTTTTACACAGTCCAAATAAAATCTGGCTGGAACTTCGGGTTTATTGTTTGATCGCACAACTTCTAGCCATAAAATTTTGCGGCTGCATCCGTCTATTGCTCCGTGGATAGGAAACCCGTACGGCTTTAATTTGTCATATCCTGCATAATACCACATCAGAAAATGTATGCTTTCATGCTTTTATGCTATAGAGAGTCGACTAAGTGCAGAAAAAGTACACTCACCATCGACATGCCAGCAAAAGTTTGGACCAAAACTTGTATACCTGCGTCTTGATAGCCTTCTTCGACGTCTTTGCTGAACACCTTCGGGATCGATTTCCTGAAGAACCTGTGCAACCACTTGACGAGGCACGTGAATGTGGTATTGCAAACGAAGAACATGCCATATTGATCTGTAGCCCAAAGACGCACCAGATCCATTTGAGATTTCGTTTTCAATGACTTCCTTATTCTCAATTCGTCATTTTCGTTGACATTGGAGTTTCGTCTCAAGCCAAAGTCCTGCAATCTACGTTTTAAAGTCCTTAAACTCATTTCTATGCCGTGATAGTTCGATAAGGAGTCTTTTATGATGCTATTTGAATAACCCAAATAAAAATATTGTGTTATTATCTCTCTTTCAGCCATCTTGTTTATGGCATATAGGAATATAATAGAATGGCTTATATCCGGTGATTTTTCTTGCGTTTCGACTACATTTACTTGTGTTGTGACCATATTTACTTGCGTTGTTTTATTTTACTTGCGTTATGATTATTTTATCTGTGTTGTTACTTTATTAACTTGTGTTGTGATTATATTTACTTGTGTTGTGACTATATTTAATTGTGTTGTGACTTTATTTACTTGCGTTGTGATTATTTTACTTGTGTTGTGATTTTATTTACTTGCGTTGTGACTTTATTTACTTGCGTTGTGACTTTATTTACTTGCGTTGTGATTATTTTACTTGCGTTGTGATTATTTTACTTGTGTTGTGATTACATTTACTTGTGTTGTGACTTTTTTTAAGTGATGGCCCTTATGGGCCACCGTACAATTTACAGGAGGGTAAAGGAACTAGGTATTGAAAACGTATGTGGATACTCAGACATAAATGATAACGATTTGGACACTGTTATTCGTCATTTTGTCCAACAACATCGGACATTTGTTGGGTACCCAATTAGAAATGGACATCTAAAATCTCTTAATTTAAAAACACAACGGAGAAGAATTCGAGGAAGTTTGGCAAGAATTGATCCTGGAAGTGTAAGGCTAAGATGGGCTGTGGTCGTTAGTAGACGAGCATATTCTGTAGCAGCTCCGAATACTTTATGGCATTTTGATGGTCACCATAGCTTCATCAACTAGGGGTTTGTTATTCATGGTGTCATTGATGGTTTTTCGAGGTGTATAGTCTATCTTCATTGTTCCCCTAATAACAGAAGTGAAACTGTCGCAGATTTATTTCGAACTGCAACAGAAAATTTTTGTTGGCCTTCTAGGGTAAGGTCAGATAAAGGTGGAGAGAATTTTCTTTTATGGAATATGATGGAAGAAATGAGGGGTTGTAGCAGGGGCAGTTATTTGGCTGGTTTATTATCAACAATCAAAGAATTGAGACATTGTTGAGGGATGTTTTGTATTGTATGTAATACATTTTATTATGCTTTTCAAGCTATGGAAGAATCTGGAGTGTTAATCATAGGCAATCTGCTACATAAATTTGTTCTACATTTTTTATTCACTTCTCGCATTAACAAAGCACTTCTAAGCTTTGTGTCAGCTTGGAATGATTACCCTATTCGCACTGAGCGTAACTGGTCACCTAACCAAATCTGGTCAAATAGCATGATCGATATGAGAAACCAGCACAGGAACTGTACAGATGACCCAGCAAATTTTTCTCATGACTTAGAATGGTATGGATATGATGGTTTTGCCCCATGACCTTCAGATGATGGGCTTTCAAATGTTGAAGTTAATGATTTAGACTACAATTTTCCATATGATGTGATGCAGCAATTAAGAGTTACCGTAGATCCATGTGAGCATTCCAATAATTTTGGGACTGACATCTATATGAGAGCTATCGATGTAATGTTAGGATATGAAATGCATTGAAGATAGAATTTAACCATTTTCATTGTTTGACCAGTAATGTTATTTTTGAAATCACGACGAGAATTTTTCTGTTTTATTTTTTTAATGAGATCTTTTTGAACATTCACGACACGAGATGCCACTGACGTGTGTAATGTTAAAAATTACTCTGCTTTTGTGTATAATAGTATTTTAAAGCGTGTATCGATGATGTAAGATCTAGGTTCTCGCTCTAGTGTTTTTCTTAATATAACAGTCCGGCAAATTTTCACCGACTTTGGCACAAAAAAAAGCACAGAGATCAAATTTTCTAATTACCAATTTACCAATTACGTTTGAATTCTTCTAAAATATCTAGAAGTATAGAATACGTTCATAAAATTAGCAACGGTGTCCCTGAAGGTAAATGTTTTGGTAAATGGCACAATAAAGTACCAAATACACAAATTTTCTCTTGAAATAACAACTTGTAATCGTAACTAAAAAACACATATAGCAGCTCCGAGAGTATGGGTAAATGAGTTTTTCAGGTACTTTCCATTGCAGAAATTTAATAGTACTTTATGTTAGTGTGGTATATTTGAAAAGACTTGTCAATCACTAGTGAAGAAAGGCATTAGGCTTAAAAATGACAAATTGAATTATAAATGACATTCTTTAAAATGTTATAAATAAAGTCAAATCTCTTGAGATAAAATGTGGTTTTATACGTGAGTGCATACTTATGGTTAAAAAATTTCAGTTTAGATGACACATGAATACATAAAAATTGTAGCTTCTTTGGATTTTATGTTGTTTAAGGTAAATGCCTTTCAAAGAAACAGTAATTCTCCCCTAGTTTCAGTGTGACATGGTTAATCCCTATGCAAAATAGCCGGTATAGATCGCCGCCTGAAAATATCAAAAGTCGAAAATTTTAATTAGTTCTGCTTTATAAATAGCTGACAAAGAACAGAATTATTTACTGTACGTGTTTCTCCACTGTGTGAAAAGAACTTGCCCAAACATGCCCAATCCCCGCCCTGTAAAACCGGAATTTATTCTTTGTAAATTTCAATCTATCGACTGTCCTATATATTAAAAAGAGAGAAATCGACAAATCGTACGCCTTTCGCATATCAAATTTCCAAGCGTAAGAAGTAACGTATCTCTGTCTGAAAATGGTCTCCGTTGAAAAATATCCCTGCTTTTGTGGCTCAGGTCTTTAACGAACCGTTATTTGTGCCTGAAAAAAAGTATACGCAGTTGATGGACGCGTACGAAATTCAAGTTGTGAAGCAGTACAAACCGAATAAGTTCCCTTCATGTAAATGCGATAATGTCGCCAGTTTGTGGGTGTCCCAATCGTCTTCCAATCCGGAAAGGCCGTACTTTAGATGTAAGTACATTCCCAAGGATGAAAAGTGTGATTTTTTTCAATGGGCAGACATGGTGAAGAAGACGAACAAACGTAAAAGTAAAAACCAATCGAAAACTGTTCCGAAGAAAAAGAAGAAAGCAGGAAAATCCAACTCTGACGATGAGAATGAATAATGGCCTTTTTAATACGACCGGCGAACATGTCGTAAAATTACGCTGTTGCTCATTACTCTGACGGAACAGAATTCATTTTTAAAGGCTATAATGCACTGAACGAGTTTTTTTTATTTTTGTTTTCCTTAAAGCTCATTGGTTTTACAGCCATTGCTCATAACGCGAAAGCCTTTGACGGTGTGTTCATTCAACGGTGGCTAATTGAACATCGTCCCACTGTAGACATGCATGTCAATAATTCGGGACAGAAAATTATGCAATTGACGGTTAAAGATTAACAAAGTCAGCTAATCAATTCATTAAATTTCTTACAAATGCCCTTTTCAAAATTTCCTAAGGCCCTGTTTACATGAGACCGGAACGAAGTCAAACCGGAATGAAAATCAACATTTGTTGCATATTTGCATGGGACCGGCACTAAGTCAGGAAAAATCCTTATTCGCGTAATGCCTCCTTTGCAGGCTAGATTTACTTTGCTGGCCATTTTAGTTTTATATTGTGCACATGCATTGCTGCATTTGAGACCCGTCAGAACGTTAATTTGAGTTTACATTGATGCCGATTTAATTCATACCGCTCTGAACTCATTCGGATCGGTTGAGCAAACGATACGACTTCAGACCGCTGTGAGTTATTTTCATAACGGCCCCATGTACACATCTACTATAAATGATACTATAACCGACACGAGCTGGTACCGGTTTGACTTCGTTCCGGTCTCATGTAAACAGGGCCTAAGATATTTGGACTTGATAAAGCAAAATTTTCAAGAGGTGATTTTCCGTTTTTGTTCAACCGAGAAGAAAATCAAAACTATGTAGGACCAAAGCCTGATATAGAATATAACAGCTCTCATTTAAAATCAGAAAAAGATTGTACTAAATTAATTGCCTGGCATGAAGATCGTATAAAAAATAATTAAGTTTTTGATTTCAAAAAGTAAATGGCGCTTTATTGCTCTCAAGACGTAACCATAATACGGGTGTGGTGTTTACGATTTCGTAATTTGTTCCTCGTGGAAACGCATGTAGATCCTTTTGCTTATTGCGTCATTGCTGCTGCCGTCATGGCCATTTACTGTTTGAAATATCTTATGCCTGATACTATAGGTATTGTACCGAAAAACGTGTACCGAGATTCAAACAAACCCTATTCAAAATGTTCAATTGAATGGCTTGAGTTTGTTACGGTACAGACTGGTTGCAAGATAAGACATGCTCTAAACGGGGGCGAAAAAATCATTGAAGATAGAGAATGGGGTAAAGTTTACTATGTCAACGGGTTTTGCAAAGAAACAAGCACAGTATTTTCTTTTCATAGATGCCTCTATCATGAGTGCCCCTCGTTTAATGATTTGAGAAAGGATCATCCATTTCTTAATGACAGACAAATGAATGATGTATATGACGACGCAATCAGATGACAAAACAGACTGAAACAAATAGGCTACGTAGTGAGAACGATTTGGTGACATGATTTCAGCAAACTTAGGAAAACGAAAGCAATGCAGCAGTTCTTGGACACACATGACATTGTAACCGATATTCAACAACGAGACGCGTTTTTTGTGAGTTAATGGGTTTAAGCTTTTTAGGGAGGCCAACCCCGATAAAAGTATTGAATATGTTGATTTCATATCATTGTATTAGTTTTTCAACAAAACCAAAGTGTATCCAGTTGGTCACCCAAAAATTATACGCGGCAATTTTGAAGCAATTTCCAAAAATTTTGGTCTGATTAAATGCAAAGTTTTAGCTCCGGCCTGTTTATATCATCCGGTCCTGCCAGCTCGTATTAGGGATAAACTGTTTTTCCTTTGTGCAAGAAATGCGTTGTAGAAAACTCTTTAGAATGACATTTAATAGAGGAGCGCGCATTTTAGGTACTTTTCGATAGTTGAAGGGCTGAAAGCAATTGAAAAAGGATACAAAGTTTTGCACACTCGCGAAATATGGCATTTTGAAAACACAAGCTCAAATTTGTTCTGTAATTATGTAAACTATTTTCTTCGGATTAAACAGGAAAGCTCAGGACATCCGCAGTGAGTTTGAACGGGGATAATATTGAAATGCACGATCTTTGTATCTTGAATGATGATTTAATCGAAATTGTCTTTGAGAAAAAGCACGAGTATGATGTAGAAAATAAACTAAAAAACATCTTCATAGGATATTTACCACAGCGTGGGCGAAATTAGAGCTTTATAACATAATGGACAAATTAGGTGAAAATGTGTTTCGACAACCTTAGCGGTAGTCATCTTCACAGTCAAATGAGGAGTAAACGCCAGGTTAGCAGCATTTGTTATCTGGTTCTTACGTCACATTAGAAAGTTCGTATACCAACTTGGAACAAACCCCCCTGAACAGATCACAGCAATTACCGGCACCTTACAAACGACTTATTCACAATACTAACAAACGATCAACTAAAACATTACACTTCACACTAATTCACAATGACAATACACAATTGACACCCACACATTACAACTAAAACATCACACCTAAATCACACATCACAACTAAAATATTTCACTTCACACTAATCCACAATGACAATACACATGTCCTGTACACAATACAATGACGTAAGAACCAGATAACAAATACGGCTAACCTGACGTTTACTCTTCATTTGACTCTGAAGATGACTAAGGTGCCGGTAATTGCTGTGATCTGTTCAGGTTAAGGTTGATCTGTTCAGGTGATCTGTGATCAGTTAAGGTTCCGCTAAGTTTGTCGAAACGTCAGTCAACAACAACAAAACAGTCCTTCTCAGGACTATATCAAACATGTAATAATTTGTAGATTAATTTCTTTTATTTTAAAGATAAAATTTTATTTCCATTCATAGCAGTTTCGGGAATTGGATTTTTTTTGTCAATAAGTATGTAATAAAAACATTGTGTGAAATCTAACACAATTATGTGCAATCCAAACAGAATTTCTTTGTTCTAACATAAACTGAACTAATCGTGATGTTACATCATCATTATTACAATCAAATACAAATTGACGATAGCCACAACAATCAATGGGATCAATTGATAAGTCAGTAATATAATCCATATCGGGTAAAAAATACTCAAAATTTTTGTGAAAAGGAGTTTTCTCGCATTTTCGACATATTTCCTGAATAACACAATAGAATGGTATCATTAAATTATTTTCATCAGTTTCGGTTTCAAAATCAAAGAAAAATAATGTCGGTGTACGCTCATACTTATTTAAGTCTAAAGGTTTGATGTGGCACTTATTTTGCTTGTCCAAATATTTTCTACAATGAGCACAATATATTTTTTTACAATCATGAAAACAACATTTTTTAACGAAGAAAATCTTGGAACATATTTATTACATGTATCACAAAGATAAATTTTGTGAATTTAACACTGTTATTATTTTCAAACAATTTATTAAACAGATGCTTTTGAAAACAATCAGTAGATTTAAAAATCATATTACATTCTGTGCATTGAATAGAAAATTTTTTCTTTCTTACAGTTTGAATAACATTTTAAACAGGTTTCTTCATTTTAATATATATGAGAGTCCACATACTCATCAAATTTTAAATAATGCAGGCATCATAAAGAAAAATAAATCTAGGTTTAAGTTTGAAAATGTTTAGGATTTAACATTAAGTCATAGTGAGGATCATTTAACCGTAAATAAATAACTTTATCACTTATGTGAAAGGATTCGTGATTAGTCACTCTTGAATCGTAATATATTGTATCTAATTTACCTTTGGAAAAAATTGCCAAATGAAATTTATCTTTTTTTAAATAGTTTTCATAAATTATATCTAGTTGGTTACTGGAAACGCTTCGTTCTGGTAATTTAGCTTTATAATGGAATGTTTTAACTTCGCTTACAGTTACTATTTCATCAACTGATTTATTTAATTCTTTTTTTAATTTAGATGGTTTATCATCACTATTAATAAACATTTTTCCAATTAATACAGCCATAGCAAAACAACAATTCTTAAGTTGACTTTGTAACTTTTCACACTTGATTTTTAAATTACAATTTCTTATTTCTCTTTGATGCTTCAATGCTGGACGATTTGTTTTACCCTAACTATCATCATCAGGATTTAAGTTATAAATAAGCTTTTTGTTCTATTTTTCTGAATTGGACTCTTTCCTGAATGAGATTTTCTCATTTTTATATTGATTTGGAACAATCATGATACATACATTACTTTCGCAATCATTATTTAAAAATTCTGAAATAGTGAATTATCTCTTTTTCTTGATATTCAAGATGGTGTATATCTTTCACCATCCTTTTGTTTTAAAACTCTTGTATTCTCTTGAATATCAAGAAAACGAGATGTCCGTTTTTGGAATTTGTTTTATTTGTTTTACTTAAAATGGTTTTTTTATATTGTAAATCAATTCATTTTTTATTTTTTTTGATATATTCAATTTTTCTCCAATTTTTGAATGAAATATGCTAACTATTTTCATTTTTTCATTATTTGAAATAATTTTCATTTTTTTTCTTTCTCTCCATTTTTTCTTTTTTTTTTGACATAATTTTTCTTTTTCTTTATCTTTTAATTTTTTCACTGTCTACATTATCATGATAGTCAATTTCATTTTCGGATCTTTTTATACAAATGCAGTTTAGATTTAATTTTATAAGTGGTGTATCGTTGTATGCTTTACACATAGAATTACCCATTGCTAAAATTAACTAATAAAAAGGCTGGAAAACACTATGTCATAAAGAAGTTGATTTAGTTTTAAATAAAAATGAAAAATAAAAAATAAATACTAATGGAAGAGTCAGTACAACTTGTACCTATGAGATAGAGGATAATGATAAATGTATTTTATTCTCATCTTTCTTATTTCAACCATCAATTCAAGATTGGAAATCGGATGATAATGATGATAATTCTGTAAGATATTATGATGTTGATACAATCAAAAATGATTTTTATTTGTTTGAAAAAGATATATATAATCTTAAATCCAGTCATGCTGATGTATGTTTTAAAATTGAGAAATTAATTTAATATATTGAACAAAATATTGAACATTATGCTGGAATAAGATTAATTTACTAAAAATGAAGCAAAGTATAAGAAAACTACAACAAAGTTATGGAATTACCTTGAAAAATGTAAAATATCGAAAAAAACTTCAATGACCAATTTATGTTGGATTAACTTGGGAAAACAATTTAATTTAAGAATTAAAACTTTAAATATTTCTATCGCTGGAAAAGGAGTATTTGCATATAAAAATCCAATTTCAAAAAACAAAAAATTGTTAATTACACTGGAAGACATCTTACCTCAAGACTAGTAATAGACTCCATTTGATGTCATCACATCTATTGAAAATTATCATCAATACCTGTGTCTGGTACAATCTGACACTGCCCTCAACAAAATCCAAAATATGAATTTTACATCAAACATTAGCTATAAAAAATTTTTCACCACTTTATAATGTATTTAATACTTAATTTTGTTTGTGTTATAAAAAAATCGCAAGTTTTATGTATATAGTCACAGCTAAAGTCAAAACAGAATTGTGTAAATTCGAGAGATTATATTTGCGCACTAATAATAATTTAAACAAAATCCACTTGCTGTCATCACATGTACTGAACAATTATTTTCAATAAACATACCTGGTACAATCTGATACTGTCTTCAACAAAATATAAAAACATAAATTTTTTTGTCAATACTTAGCTGTAAAAATTTTTTCAACTGTTTTCATATATATAACACAGGATGCGGTTTGTGTTATCACAAAAAACCAAATCATTAAAGAAATTTATAAAATCACAAAAAAAGCAGAAAAACATATTTAAGCATGCAAATATTAAACGTTCAAGTTTATCATGCAAATAGTAGCCATATATGGTAATAAAAACATGCAGTAGTTCTTCATTGATGTCAAAAAAAGCCAAAGCATCCTATTTCTACAACTTCTAGACAGTCACTAATGTCAACCAAATTCAAAAGTCAAGGTTATGCTCTAAATTTAACCAAAAATTAATATAAGTTTGCACCAAGTACAACCAAGGGTTATCATACCATAAATGAGAAAATAAAAGAAAATGCACTTCTTACATTAAATTCCAGTAGTATATAAGAGCATACTCCTTAAAAATTGGAAAGAAAATTGGAAAGAAAATCAAATTCAAGAAGAAAAATGCGAAAATGAGCAAGTATTTCTATAAACGCCATTACCCAATTCAGTAAATATTAATGATATAAACTACTATGAAAATTAAAGTCGTACATCACCGTCACTGGCATTTCCACAGCCTATGGATGAAGATTTATCGAAAGACATCGTAGAAACGACGAAGACATAGTCATACTACCAGCCGACAAAGGACGCAAAACTGTAATCATGGACAAGTCAGACTACATCAACAAAGCGAAGACCCTCTTACAAGACACCAACACGTATGAACCTCTACAAACAGACCCCAACAAAACCACTACAAACCGCATCAACAAGAAATTAAAACAACTAAAAGACAAAAAGAAACTTAACGAAACCGTCTACAAAAGAATCCGACCCAACGACTCCTCCACCGCCAAATTCTATGGACTACCAAAGATTCACAAAGAAAACAGCCCGCTACGACCAATTGTATCTCTTCCTGGATCTCCCACGTATGAACTATCAAAATATCTTTCTAATATTCTGCACCCACTAGTCAAATCATCACATCACACTATCAAAAATGCCACAACTTTCCTCACCAATATTAAAAATGTAAAACTAAAACCAGACGAAATAATGATATCTTACGATGTAGTGTCACTTTTCACATCCATACCACTAAACATAGCCAAAAAAGTCACAAATGAACTACTTACTAACAACAACTCATGGAAAATCACAACCGAACTAGACCAAGACAATATCATCGACCTGCTCGAGCTCTGCCTCTCCACTGGATTCACCTTCCAAAATTCATATTACCGACAAATCTCAGGAACACCAATAGGTTCTCCTTTATCCACCTTCCTTGCAGAAGCTGTTATGCAACACCTTCAAAAGCAGTCAGTCACCAACAACACACACATCAGACTATGGAGAAGATTTGTTGACGACATCTTTGCTATCGTCGAAAAGACAAAACAGAACACATTCTACTTTCGACTCGTTGCTTGAGCCTTCATCAGAATGAGGATATATATTTACACGTGCTTTTAGCTTGAAGCACGTGTAAAAACTAAAAGCACGTGTAAATAAATATCCTCATTCTGATGAAGGCTCGAAGCAACGAGTCGAAAGCTCAATAAAAATCACTTAAAATCCGGAGAAACTTTTATCTTTTATGTACATTATATATATATATATATATATATATATGATAATGATAAGGATTCTCTGGATTTAAATATACAATGTTACCAATTTTCAAATATATATATATATATATATATATATATATATAAACATACAAAGTGTATAACAATGTGCCCTCCAGCTATCACCATAGTAAAATGGTGACTCCTGCACTTGGGACACAGGACTTTACAGGTATATGTATATAAACATATATATATATATATATATATATATATACAAAGTGTATAAACAATGTGCCCTCCGGCTATCACCAAAGTGCAATGGTGACTCCTGCACTTGGGACACAGGACGTATATATATATATATATATATATATATATATATATATATATATATATATATATATATATATATAAAGCTCATCTTTATAGGTTTGAGCACTGTGGTGACTCTAAAATACAATCCATACAATGTTTAACCATACGTATATATATATACATACAAAGTGTATATACAATGTGCCCTCACGGCTATCACCATATTAAAATGGTGACTCCTGCACTTGGGACACAGGACGTGCGGTTACACATTTTATGGATTGTATTGTAGAGACACCAGAGCGCTCAAACCTATAAAGGTGAGCTTTGCGTAAAGCGAAAGCGGTGATTATCGGAGATTAGGTAATGTTAACGTTGACAGGGTTTGTAGTGTTCACATTAGCAAGGTCGGAAGGGCTTACTTCATCCGGTTTGAACAAGTGCATGTTGGCTGTTTTAATAGAGATCACGCTGGAAGAGTTGGTTTGATTCTTTTGATAGAGTCATTGTAGTTTACGTTGTTATTAACAGAGGACTCCTTTATCATAAAGATTGGTCAAGTTCACGTTTGTTGGTTTGAAAAAGATCACGTTAGGAGAGTAGGTTGGATTGTCATCAGTGGTGTTACTGCAATTTACGTTGTTAATAACTGAAGCAGCCAACCAAGCAATATTTTCGTGGGGTCTTTTTTATATTCTTCTAATTGCTGAACTATAAGATCACTACTATCTATTCCCGGCCATGGCGTTTTTTAAATTTTAAAGTTGTTTAGTTGATTTCTTTGATAAATCTTTAAAGATGATTTGTTGAGATTGTTGACAAGGGGAGAACAAGTAATTGTGATCATCGATTTCTTGAACAGTACGAGGCTTATCGGTGCCTTTATTTGCATTGATAATTTCTAGTTTTGACTGTTCTTCACAATCATGCATATTGTTGTTGATTTTTGTTTTGATTACTTTTAAGTTTCTCTAAAAGTAATCAAAACAAAAATCAACAACAATCAATTTCTTCTTCTTTTTAAGACCTCAGATAGCAAAAGCATTTGCTTGTATAAGTTGTTCATTTGTATCAACATCGAATTTCCTGCCCTCAATATCCGCCACAATATCTCATCGCCATGAAAATATAAATGTCCGAGTGTCTTTGTCTCCGGCAGGTGAAAGGAGTTGTTGTTGTAAACTTCCAATATTTTGCTGATAAATTGTTTTAAAGACTCAATCATTTGTCCAGCATAAAGCTTAAGTCATCAAGTACATCAGAAGCACCATCATTTTTGTTAGTGAAATCGTCAATTATAACAAATTTCTATCAGTAGTATCATCAACTGCTTTACGTTTTATGTTTGGTTCAGAGGTTGAAAGTCCGTAGTCATCCCTGTTGAATTTATCACCATTTTTTCCTGCTTTGAATTTGCCACTTATAAGACTGTCATCATATTCTTCTGCATCTTGTATTTTTCGTTTTTTCATTTTTCATTGCTTATAGACTCTAGTTGCTGTAGCTGTTCCTTTTTCGATCACTTGTCGGTACCAAACTTCGACATCGATCACGTTGATGGTTTGTTTGTCTTAGTAAGATCGATCAACGTTAATAATTATATGAGAAGCGTCTCTTCCAGCTAAGTGGTGCGCTTTGATTAGCTCAGAAACATTTTTGCCGGTCCATTATTTTCCTGTAATCGACCAAGGTCCAAAACGCGTAATTTTAGAGTCAAATGTAAACAACTTCGTAAAGCGAACAGCAAAACGCGAAATAAACGAAACAAAAAAAAAAATTTACGAATGTGATTCGAAGGAAAAACACTTGGAAAGCAGTTAAAGTATCTAGACGTTGCAATTTGAAACGATTTATTTTTTATGGACGAAAACTAGAAACGTGAAAATCAACCCGTAAAAACAGCAAGGACGGGAAAGAAAGAAAGCTTTGTTTCAGATCAAATAATGCCATATAATAATCATTTTAATAACCTCGCTTTCTCGGTCTTTACTGAGAAATATTGGACCTCTGTCTTTTTGTACAAACATCACCTTACGGGCTCGGTCTGTACAAAAGTAACTCGGTATGTTATTTCTCCGTAAAGACCTCGCGCTCGGTCATTAAGGGCTTATTCATGATCTATAGTGATCCGAGTTAATATTTTTAACCAGTTGAAAATATTTTTAATGATTTACAATAATTCAATCCATAGACGGTCGGAGAGGCTTCCTTCCAAATCATCCGTACATTTACATGTCATCCAACCTTTTTACAAACATTGTTATATCCGGGCAATTAATGGTTGTAACTTTCGTCGGTCAGATGTGTTTCACGCATTAATCGATTCTATAATACGACTCTACAAACTACTACAACATATGAAAGTTATATCCAAGACGTCTGATGTTTGAATGTACGATTTTCATACCATTTCTTTATGCGCTTTCCTGAAATTGATTCCTTAAAAGTGAGAGATGAAGGCTAGGTTGTGCGTCAGTATTTCCACACATCAATAAAAGTATCAAAAGTATATGCAATTTTCCTTCTTCTTTCAAATCACAAGATGATTGTAGAGATTTATAAGAAAGTAATGAATAGGAACTAAAGTTTTTTCGACATACATCTTCTTTAGGGAAAGCA